CATCTTTGACCAAACACTCCTTTTCGCATCGAAAATTCTTCGAGTTTGAAGGATGAATGAAACCAATGCTGCGACTATGTGCATTGTATGCGAATATTATCGTAGATGTAATTATTTCTAAGTTCGTATTGTAAGATCGATCGCTTTGGCTCCTTGTCGATCGGTGTTTTCGAAGAAACCTTGTATTTGTAAAACGATAATTACGAGTGTACATTAGATACGATACATTATTGTGCGAACCGTAGATCCACCGACTCTGTCAAATTAAATGTAAGAACACGTCCGAAGGGAAAATTCACTCTAATTAAAATAGTATAACGTAATTACACCTTGTCCAAACGTTAGGAACGCGGCAGAAGCGATATTCGATGCGTTAACCGAATGAAAAGTTGCAAAGAAAACAGACGAATCGCAACCAGGCGGGCAACGAACAATTTAACCGTAAACGATTGTAAATATATCTCGATGTGTCCTGCACGAGACGCGTGAAAATTACTTTTAACCGAGATGTGGCATGTTCAATTACAAACTTTATCCCAACTTGGTCCAACTCCTTTCTGATCGTCCCTTCAGTTCCAAGAAATTCCACAATTTTCAGGTACAAGTTCTTTTCGTACTTTCAAGACGGATCCTTATGTATGATTCCTTACAAATTGCACAATGGACAGATGTGTACCAATTTCCAACGGAAACAATTCAAAGTGAACGAGAATGAAAGTTGGATAGAAATTTGTCCGATTAGAATCGCGAACATTAATAATTTCAAACAGGGGCGCGCCATCAGCGAAATGACTTCCAGCTTCCATTCATATTTAATGCAATCCTGATTTCATTCGCACCGATTTGGAAAGTAGCACATTCGTATTCTCACGTCGCGTAAACGAAAACGCTTTCTTTATCGGTCGTAAGAAAGATATCGAAATAAACTAGCCCTATCTTCGCCGACGATCGAGCGTATTGAATAGCGAATTCAGGAGCACCGCCGCGAACCTTTCGCGATAAGAGACGTATTGGGTGAGAAATATTCTTTTTCCTTCTTCCGATATATTTTTTCCCGCGGTAAAGCGTGGAGCTGAATGCTCACGGCGACCGAGGCGCTTCTACTCGTATTTACGTAGAAGGCGACACGACTTTGAACGATAAGAGTCTCGATTCCCTTGGAAGCCAAACGCAATTGTTTTGTTGCTAGATATTCGCACGACGTGACGTTATAAACGGAGCATCGATGGATCGATACGAATGTGGGGCGTAGCGAAAGAAGAGAGACGAACCAATAGAAGAAAGGGGATCTGAATGTACGGATTTATTGCTTGGGTATGACTGCTATTTAGATAAGAGAGATGCCACTCGTAGATTTGTCACACCCTCAAAACTATGTAAATGTTGTAAGTCTTTTAATTAGAGCTAGCGAATTTTGTAAATAAAGTATATTTAAATTTAGAAAAAGTGAAGATGAGCACAGTAGGTTCTGTGTATGATAATAATGAAACACTCAGAGTGCTTCGACATTTCATTTTTACAACTGTCTGAAATTTACGTAAAACGATTGAAGCAAGGTATCCAACCCTTGCAAAAATCGAAACGACTTCGCTTCCCAGAGTGCACCGACCGTGTTTCCAACGACTAACTTGCTTTTCGGCGCGTATAATTAATTGGCCGGCTACGGTGCGTGAAACGCAACCGTGTCGCCGCAAATTTAATCAGGCAAAGCACGCTTTTAAATGTAATTACGCGCGCGCGTGTCCGCTGGCCGGAATCGCGAGCGTCAACGGGCCGATTTTAATCCACTTTTTTTTTTTGCTCCATCGGATCGCGAGCCGTGAAAGCTCTCGCGTTTCTTTCGACGTTCCGGCGTTCAGAACGGATTAAAATATATATTTTCCCGGGCAGCTGCGTCGGGCGGATAATTAAATTCGTCGCCCCGACGAGGAACGTTCGACGTCCGGCATTTCTCGTTACGTTTTTCAAATTCACGACCGACACGCCCCGAACTCCGCGCGACGGCTGAGGTCTTTAATAAGTTTAATTAGGAAGCCACCTAACTGGCGCGCTCGGTGAATTTCGTCACGAAGCCGAAAGTTCTAGCCGTATCCTCGCGCGGACACGCTCCCTTATTAAATCGTCAAACTTTGTTCCGCAGGAAAAGGTATTCTAGTCGCGGCGCCGAATAAAGTTGGCTGTAACGCCCAGGAGGAGTTATATTATTCTAAAAGTAATATGAAACAATACAGAGTGAGGCAGCTAAACTGTTGTAGAGCGATAATGCCTGAACTATCGTGAATACAAACAAATCGTACAGGAAAAAGTCGGAAGGTTCGAGGAGGCCTATCTTATATGACATCGCAGCTGATTAGCTCGCTACTACTCGCGATGAACGATTGTTCGAATAGAATAGAATAATACCAATTACCAGGTCGAGTCCGAGGGGAATGTTTTGGGGAGAAAGCATTTCAATGGTATTTTTAATAGAGGAGTTCCTCTGTCTAGCATGACGTTGCTGCGCCGTGCTCTTGTAGAATACAAATAAGATAAATAGGACTATGGTGGCACCTGCTGTTCTCACCATTAGAGGGACACCGCGCGTACCACGCATTTCTCATAAGTGCTCGGTTTTGAGTAACATTTATATATATAAACCATTTCCAACCGACCTGCAAATATCCCGGGATCTAAGGCACAGGCCTGCTAGGTAACCTTACTGACGTGTCCACTAACAGGCCCAGGACAAAACGCTCCCTTTAGAGAACAGCCACCATAAGATTTTGTATACTACCAGGGTCATTCCGCGAAATCGGACACTGAACACGATAGTTTAGGTATTATCGCTCTGTAACAGTTTCGCTCTCTCACCTTGTATACTGGCTATCCTCAGCGCTCTAATAAAATATGCCATGAGCACTCGGTATTCCCTACAAAAGAAAGCCAAACGAGGAGCGCCGTTGATCCTTTTAAAAGTTACTTTAATGTCCGCGGAGACAAAGACTGAATCGTGCTTGATTTTCTTCTGTTGACTACCCTTTGTTTCAAGATAACGAAATCTTCCATTCTTTGCCGACAGGGCCATTCTTTTAGCCAATTCTGATTTCCGTAAGCTTAAGAAAGTTCTCGCGATTTAATAGAAAAAAAGTGGAAAAATAGAAGACGGTGTCTCGACTTATCTATCTCAATCTGGTTCATCTTCTACTAATCCAGAATACAAGAAGTACTTTAAAAAATGGCGTTTAAGAATGTTCGACGAACTAAGGTTCGTTGTGAAGGTGGGTGGAGACGAGGCGAATGAAATCGATAGATCCAACATTGTTTACGGAGTTAGCCGTCGAAATTGCATTAGTGGGCGGAAACTTTTGTAACCCTATTAAATGCAATGTTTCGCACGCACATAGCCGTGCGGATCTAACGACCTCGGACATCGGAGATTTACGACGACGTGACGACAATCTTCGAGTACGATTTTCATTCTATTAAACGAGAGAAACGAGTCCGACTACGAGGTGGATCGACTTTCGATCGAAACCGTCGCGACGCGGTATGCATTCGAACGATGTCGAATTTCTCCTTGGCTCGACGCGACGATCGTACCTTCTTAATGCCGAATCTCGAAGCCAATTTTTTTGCGACGGGCTGCTAGGAAGATCGAACTTCAAATACGACGTGAAAATTGGATTTCAAAGAAGGAGCTTTTCTATTCATGGCACGTCGAACGATTTCGTTGCAACAATTACGCGAACGGACCCGATAATTGAAGGATCCCACACGATTCTTATGGATAATGAATCCAGGTCAAGCTGTCCGTTCTGAAATATGGTGCAGTTTTTATAATTCTCAACAAATGTCTAGTGTCACTTCCGGGTACTGTCAAGAGGGTCAAAGAAACAGTTAATTTTAAAATGAAATAAATTATTGTGATCATTAATAGTAGTAATATTTATTTAGGAAACGTTGTCATGATCTTGATAATATGATGATAAATTCACTGGTAAATTAGTGGCATCGAAAGTAGTTGAAAATTGTAAAAGTTACATTTCCCAGAACGAAGATGTTTCGTTTAATTTACTTCCGAGAGCCCTGCGGGATCCTTCGTGTGACAGTTGACCTTTGAGAAACCGTCTTTATTTTTATTTCGCGGGTTGCCTAAAGCGTCTCGAACTTCTCTCACACGATAGCGACAAAAAAAAAAAATGACGGACCGTAAAATGGAGCGCTCTGAAAAATCTGCGGAACTTTTCCATATTAATTTTTTACGGTCAATGTCCCTTTCTCGAGACAGTAAAAGCGAAAGATCGTAAAAAGGAACGCGAGCAGGGGTAGGAGGAGGGTGAGAAGTTCGATCGAGACTTCCGCCCCTGATGGGAGACGAGCAATAAACGAGCGTCATCCAGGAAATCGTTTCGCGTAAAGATCGATGGTGGGCTCTCATCGATCGCGGAGTTTCGGAAGAAGAACGGAAGGCGATAGACTCGCGATAGACTCGCTTATGGAATAGCGAGAGCTTTATTAGTTTCGTAACAGATAGCAGGACTTCCTTACGATTCGTCTGGTCAAGGGAGTCACTCGCTAGATAACAAAATTCCCATCCAGCTGACTGGCAACAATAAAGGAAAAGAGCAATTAATCCTGCCTAGCGTTCCGCAGAATCCATCGGGCGCGGGAATCGGTTGCGCGTTTCTTTGGCGGCGAATGATAGAGATGAAACGCTGCGGGGGCGCACAAAGAAGGAAAATCGGATAGCACGCGGCAAAAAGAGATAATGAGAGCTCGTCGGTGAGGCGATACTCGGCTCCTCGAGGAACAGAAAGACAGAGCACGGGCATCTTTGGTTGAAGAGGGGTCGCGAACGCTTTTTCGTCAAGGCAATGTTTCGAGGGCTGGAAACGAGGTATTGATTTCCAATTACCGCACCGCTCTGTTCCATCAGGTGGGAGGGTAGGTGGAGGCTGGATGCGAGCCGGGTAAAATCGAAAAGGGAAAGAAGGTATGCATAATTAATTAACGAGTCTCACCTCAGCCCTGATAATTCGTTGCCGTCTTCTTCCTCGGTCCCTCGCGTGGATCCTTGCGCCTTTCGTTTGAGCCTGTGAACGAAACAGAGTTCTTTGAAAAATGATAATAATAATAATACTTTATTTACGGACAATGTGCGCTTGACATCAAGTACAATAACAAAAAAGAAAAAAGAAAAATGATACAAACGGAGCCAAGCACACCATATCATTATGTACCATGTTCGGCTAAATTACGCTCACGCAAAATCGCTACAAGAGCTCCTTAATTCAACGCTGTCCACAAACCTAACATCCCTCCAAGTTATGAGCAACGGTCGAGCCCCGTTTAAGCGATTAACTTGGCCATCGAGCTTCGGCACAAGTCGTTCCAATTTCGAGGGAAATTTACGAGCTCACGCGATGGACGTTAAGAGCAAGCGCTGTTTGTCTGTTTGCGTGTGTACAAGTTCGGGGGATGAAGGGGTAGGAGGATTGGGGTCGAAGGAAACGGAGAGAGAAACCTGGGTTCAGAGGAAATTGTGTTAGAGGAAAGCAGAGCAAACGCGATGATTCTTAATTCTGCGAAACGTATGGAGCGACCACCGGTGCGTTACTAATTTCGCGAAAATATTATTTAGCGTTTAAACGAGGTCGTTAAACCGCTCTCCCTCCCCGGAGCATCCGACTAGCTCTCTTCAGGGGAGGAATAATTTCAAAAGACCGATTCGAGCACCGGTGCTCGCGAAGAAAATTTGAAATTACCATTGTGCGAGTCGTTCGTTGCGAAAGTGGAGCGAGTCTATCTTTTTAAAAAATGGAGCTCGTGCGAGTAGTTCTTACGGCGCGTGTTAATTTTGCCTGTAGAAGATTTCCGGCGTCGACAGGTTAATATTTCCTTGTAAACGTGCCCACTTGTGCGGAGACATAGGAGCCTGCGCAAATTACCCTCCTTTATTAGTTTTCTTATACGAAAATGAAGGACGTCCGTTCGAAACTTTTCGCATGTGGTGCTGCCCGTGTAGGAACATGGAAATAATTTGTAATCCTTTGAGTGCCAAGGAGCGATATATCCATACTCTTGCAAAATGGCCAAGAACGATATATCGCTGCTCGAAGCTGTAAGTGTTTTAACTCAGTAAAAAATCAATTTTATATTACGAAGATAACGTAGATATTTAATGCACGTAATGCGTGTAATATACAGGCAGTCGCATAAATATTCGTACCCTCCATGTCTATCGAAGAAAGTCCTAATTAAATGGCAGGTTCGATGTTCCTCTTGGAATTACTTTTTTAAAGAGACAATTCATGATTTTTAAGTCGAGGAATCTTTGCTTAAAATTGTCTGGCATTTCCCGAATATGTATGAAAATTTCCTCTGGCGCTCAAAGGGTTAATAACGAAGGGATATTGAAAAACGACGTCGCTGGACACTCTCGCTCAGGCGGCAATTAAAAGCTGCCATCGCAACTAGTCACTTTACAGACCTTGCATCGATTTTCCGCGTCCTAATGGCCAACAGCGAAAATTCAACTTCGAAGAACCAGGTGCATCGCGTTATACAAATTAGTTCTTATCACGCTCCTCGCGGCAGCCAAGGTACGCGTTCCTCATTTTTCCCTTCATTCCGCTCGTTCCGATTCCATTCGTGCGTTAAGCGATAAGGGCCGATTGCATCTAAACAAGGGAAAAAGGTGGAAGTTCGCGGTCGGTCGACGGCGAGCGATTGTTTATCGTCAGGATCGTGGCGCAATACTAATGAAGTTACGCGATCTGAAGGAAATTAAGTCGCGACCGTTACCGAATGATTTCTCGTGCGAGCTCGAAGCCACGGCTCAATTAATTACCGTACCGAATGCAGCGAAGGATAATAGATAACGCGAGTCGCCCGATTTCCTCGGCCAACCCAGTCGAGCGGCTCATTTCTCGAATGAGAAATGATCCGCTTCGAAGAAATCTTAATGGAGTATCGGTGAAATTAAGATTTCTCTTCGGTTTGACTGTTCTCGAAACTTCGTGCTGTCCCGTTCGTTGCGACGGTATTAATCGTTACCTGGGAACGCGACGGTTTTTCACAATTTAAAGCTCGCGTAATCGGAGTATACAATCTGCTGGATATTTACGATCGGTAAGAGGATATTTTTTTTCGACAGATCCTTGATAAGAAGATGTTACACGTGTTATTAACGCGCGGTATCGTAACTTCTGTAATTTTTTTTAACGACGCATCTCGTCCGGGACGATAATTTTTATCGATGCGATATAATTCATATCGTCCTCTCGCGCGTTGGAGATCCTCTATCGGGTTTTGCTTCCAGCAGGACGAGATGAGGAACGAACGGAGACCTCTTTTAAGATGGTAGGACCAAATCAGCAGAATCATATCGAACTTAGTGGAATATTTAGTACTTATTTTCTACTAATTTGTACCACAAACAGTAATTTTGTACCTCCTGCCATTTTTAAGTTAATTTTTAGTTATTCCAGCTAACAGATACAACGATATAAAAAAATTCCTTACGATTACTGTGTTCGATGAATACTTATTCTGAACAATGATTGTTATTAATAGTTATTAGAAGACTGAATGTTACTATATGCATTGTAAATATTCAATTAATTCTAGGATGTACATATTTAATGCATTTTAAAGTTTCAAATTATTATACTAATGTTTTTCGAGAAAGTAATATTTCCAAACATGAAAAGTTGAGAAACGAGGGGAGATCGAAGGAAGTTTGATTCTTTCTATCTCCGGGTCTCTAGTCGCAGCAACCTCCACGTGGTGAGACCTGGTAATCGGTATTATTCGTGACGAACAATCCTTCGTCGCGAGAAATATCGAGCTAATGGCTGCGAACTTGTAAATTGTAATGTGTAAAGTGTAAAGTGTAAAGGGTAAATCGTGTGACTGTACTAAATCCTCAGTAATTATTTAGAAAAAGGGGATCTCGCCGATTTCGACGATTTTTGAATATATTGTAGAAATCAACATTTTGATTATAACTTTCGCTTGGCCGCAATTTCCGAGATTTCTGCAAAAAACTATTGCTACTGGTACAATGGATATTACCTATATCCCATGCTGTGGCAGCGTGTATGTAAGCGTTGAGTCGTCGATTGTTTATGGTTTCTACAAATATATCGTCTCGATTTCATTGATAACGGTACCAGATATAACATTTCTGTTGGTGGACCAAATTAGTACAAATTTAGCACTAAATGTATCTGCTACGTTGGATTCATTTTCGTTAATATTGAAGTGTGGTCCTGCTAGCTTAATATTAAAGCTAGAAACGCCACGATTCTTTTTGAAAATGGCAGGAGGTACAAAATTACTGTTTGTGGTAAAAATTAGTACAAAAATAAGTACTAAATATTTCACTAAGTCCGATATGATTTTGCTGATTTGATCCTGCCGGGTTAAGAGAGGTCGAACGGAGGCTGATCGACACGGAACCTGTGGCGCCATCTTTCCCTCGTGACGTAAACGTTCTTCTATTATCAATTTATCGGACTGGTCGGGTTACATCAGCTACCATTTGGTTTATTTTTTTATTAATTTCTCGACGAAGGCTATTTAATTTTGCATGAAACAAACTGGTAAGTACCATTTCGAGTTTCACTTTCATTTAACTATTATAATTCACGTAAAACCTGCACATAGGGAACTGTAGAATCATCTTTCCATAACTAGCCATTCGTAATTGCATTTTAAACGTTGAAACCTTCTTTAGATAGATACCACAATTACATTTCGTTCTTACCACAAATTACTTTAATTCTCAAAGCTTCAATTACTTCCCAATAAATCCACGCCATTCGAATCGTCCTCGACAATGTATCGATCTTACTTGATCTTTTTCGTTGAGACAACGGCCCGATTACGCTAATCGCTGACTAATTAAACGCTTCATCCTTTGATCGATCGTACGTACACGTTTCTATTGTATTTGCCTACGGGTCGCGCTAGCATCGTAGCGGTGAATCTAATCCCTGTCCGTCGCTAATTATAAATCACTTGTAAATAGCGTTACCAATGGTCGGTAGGGCTGTCGCTGAATTACAACGTCGAGTTCATCGATCCTGCGGGGCATGTATCCTCTGTGAAAGGATCGCCGGAATCCGTTTGACACCATCGGAATTAGAGGGATGTCGGTTGCTCGAAACAATTGCCTTTTGTTTTCTCGCGTTCCCGACCAACAGGAAATTAAATATCACTAATAGCACGGCCATTGTGCTCTGGAAACGATCGAACCTTTCTTGTCTCTTGCAATTGATGCAAACTGTAATTGATTATACAGTATTCCTGTCGAGGATGCTGGCAGCGGTTGAATTTACCTTACTCATTTTTAACGGAAGGATTAGATTCTGATTGCACTTTTAAAAGCGATAAATTTCTGGAGAAAATCAACGGCAAATAAGATAAGAAATAAAAAAATCTTTAATTTCTATCATCGTTAAAAACGACGACTGTTAAAATATGTGACGATAATCGAACGTGCTTCGATTATCCAATCGGGTTCTCCAATCGGTTATCCAGTCAAAGCATGTAAAATTAGAGCCATGACCAATTTTTTACTTTTAAGTTTGACCCCAGTTTCACGCTGTGTTGCGAGTGTTGACACCACCCGAACGAAGTAGAGAACTTTCCGCGAAAAAAGAAGCCGTAGCACCGAGGGAAAGAGACAAGTTCCGATCGACCTCGCCCGCGACTTTCGTTCCAGGAAAATGTTTCCTCGCGGTGAACTATAAGCCAGAAACTTTCGGGCGAAGGTCGTAGATAAACAGGCGAGAGTTTCGCTCCAGCTATCATCCGTCGAGAGGTCCTTATTAAAGAACTTTTTAAACTACGTGAAGAGGAGATACAATCGCGATAAGGCTCCGGGCGATCTACCTGTGAAACGCGCCTTGGAGGCGCGATTAAAGCCTATGCAAGGAAAAAGATTGACAAATCCACACATCGAAGTGCATTATCCGCGTGGAAAACAAAATGCGTTATTATAAGGGTGTCGTAAATTTCGGTAAACGGTTTTTACGAAGCCCGCAGACGGTTAATATTATCGACGTGAAATATTGCCATCGAAATC